CCTGCTCGGGGGTGCGCACGTTTCTGCACCCTTTGGCCTCGCCCATGAATGGGGGCACAAACAGCTGCCGGCCCCCTGCCTGCCCCCTGCCCTCCTGGCAGCAGCGTATGGGCAGAGGGGAACCCCACCTGGCCACGCACCCCGGAGCCTCAGTCTTCCCCACACCCTTGGAAAAGCAGAGATGAGACACGGTCTGTGTTGGTTTCTTTATTAATTCATAGTCTGATAGCTGGTGTACAGGGAAATGATCTATACATCAGGGACTAAGACAGGGAGATCCAAAAGGCTTGTTTCCATAACAATTAAAAAAAGGAAATAAAAGTAATTTTTAAAACTTCTAAAAAGCTTCTAGTGTGCAGATTGCAGCATTCCGTAGGCTCAACGTCAGGTGCAGCCTCCCCCTACCAGCCCTACGAGCAGTCTGAGCGCAAAGCAATGTCACTGCAGGTGCCTGGCACGGTTGCAGCACAGCACATTCCCTAAGACGTATACAAGGCCAAAGCACAGGACCCACACACAACTCTACAGCGATGCTACGGAGTCAGCTGTCGCAGTGGGTCTAGGGAGGTTATTGTACACAGCAAGGGTGATGGATGGTGAGTCTGTGCCTATATGGCTCAACTTTGGGGTGGGGAAGGGGTTGCTTTGCTCTCCAAGGCTAAGCTGGGTCATTTGCTTCGCTACTAGGCTAGCAGCGAAGAAGCTAGGCTTCTTCCCGACTGCAGGAGAGCCAGGGGCTTTCCTGGCAGATGCACACCCACTGCGAGACAGGGCTGTCCTGCCAGGGCCACCAGCCTGAGGCTGGAGGTGGGCTCTTTCTGCACGTGGCCACAGAGAGCAAATTCAGGCCCTGTGAAACAGGTCCATGGCCACCTCCAGGGGAAAGAGCAGGGGTCCCCACACTACTATGCTACAGACACCAGGCCCCTACATTGGTTAGGTAAAGGACAGAGTCAGGGACATGGGATCTACTGCCACTACCTGCATCCGGCCATCCTGGGGTCACGTATGGCAGCAGATTCAACCTACTGCACACCTCAGAGTTGCCTGGGCAGCTCTGTCCACCACTGCTCTCCTGCTAGAGCAGCTGGCCCTAGGGCTGCCCTAGCTCCCAGGGTGACTGCTTGGTCCAGGCTGCTGCAGCAGGGCATTTCACCTGGCCAAAGTGCAGCCACTGGGGGAGCAGCCCCCCATATCTCTGGGGTTGGTCCTGGGAGGGTCAGCATCCATGGGGTCAACGTGCTCATTTGTGCCCTTGCAGGGAGGCCAGGGGACCCTGCGAAGCCCTTGCATGAGGTGCATAGTGCAGGGCTGCTGGCTCCTGCCAGCTCCTGGCTCATCTCCTGAGCAGATATTGTGCTGAGTAGAGCTAGGCACAACCCTGTGCGTGGTACAAGCATCCCCTGCTCTGTCACACCACCCATTGTCCCTGGGCGCCAAGCACCTCAGCGCAGGCCTACACCCAAGCACCCCAGCTGGAGCCAACACAAACTGGAGCTTGCACCATGGACAGGCCCATGGGACTGTACCCATGGGCCCCTCTCTTCAGGCCAGGAAGAGACCAGGCTCAGCTGGAGGGGCACAGGGCAGGGGCAGTCTGCTGCTCTTTTACCCTTACAGCCTCCCAGCTCCATTCACCAGAGCTGCTCACGTACTCCAAAGGTTTTGCCCGTCCTGCAGCCTGAAGAGGTATTTGGGAGAGGAGCTGTTAGTGCTTTGTACATACTGCTAGAGTGTCCCTAGGGGTTTGCATAGTATTTATTGTTTCATATACACAAGGCTGATTGCTGTACAGTTTACACTTTCAACACAAGCAACGAGCTCAGTGCTCAGCCCAGAGCCCTGCCCTGGTGGGAGACGTTGCACGTGCTGGGGAGAGGAAGGGCAGCCCTGCACCAGCCCCTCTGCCCAGGGCAGTTGTGCTCCCTGCAACCCTCATCTAACACACTCCCCGGCAACTGCTGCCCTCCCCATAACCCAACACTCACTGAGAGGGATGAGAAGCGAGTCCAGCAGAGGCAACACGGGCAACAGGGGGTCGAGCCCCTCTCCTTCCATGGTGAGCCGTGCTGTGCTGCCCCAGCTTCCCTCTTGCAGCTGGAGCACGGGCATGGGGATGCATTTACACACGCAAATGCGTGAGGGTGGAGTCTCCTTCCCTCTTGTTTTCTGCCATTCCAGCTCTTGCCTCCCAGAGGAGCTGAGAGGATGCCCCTGGTGCATGCTGCTGTCTCTGGGCTCCTGGCAGCAGCGGGGCAGGGACGGAGGCCCTCCGTCAGTTTTAAGTACTGTAGCTCATGCGTCTTGCAGTCAGTCAGTCATGCGGATAGGACAGTAAGTATGTCTCATACAGAAATCATGCCATTAGCCTATAGAAACATGTACAGCCAGCCCTGCTCCCCTCCATTCTCTGCTTTCCTCTCCTCTCTTCTCAGGTATGTGTCAGAACGTGTGTGGAGTTCAGTGGTTTGGTGTTGAGGTGAGATCCTGGAGAGACACAGAGAGACACAGATGGGGTTACCAGGCATTCATGGTGGCACAGCCAGGACAAAGCGTGGGGGCAGCCAGGTATGTGGCAGTCCCAGCCCCTTCCACACCCTGTGCTTGTCCCACATGCACCCATCCTGCCCAGCTACCACAAGACAAGTTTTGGGGGGGTGTCAGAGAGACAGTGACAGAGCACCAATAAGTGCCCTGCCTGGAACCAGCAGCAATGGCATAGATGGTATTGGTGGTGCTGTCCCAGCTGCAGAGAGCAGCCACAACCAGGAGCTGAGCTGTGCCAAAGGCAATGTGGCACTGGGAAAGAGCTGGGAGGGCTGCTGTAGGCTCTGGGATAGAGGAGGCCAGCCCTAAGCCTCTAGTCTCAACTAGGGTGACTGACTGCACCTCACTCTCACAGCAGTGGGTAAGACCTCCCTCATACATTCCTAAGGCACACCCTGGGCCACTTTTGCACGGTACGGAAAACAGCAAGAGCAAAGCAGCAGGAGCACTGCCCCAGAGAGAGGCAGACCCAGGGACTGTCTGGGGAGTAGGGCAGGCAGTAGGTGTGGGGATACGGTCTGCATGAACATGTGACCACAAGCACAAGCCTCTTGACTGTCATGCACCCATAGAGAGCCCACTAACACAGTGGAAAGGAGGGAGAGGGAGGACAGACAGACACAGCCGTGCAGGTACAGCAGAGGCCAGACAACTGACCACCCCTGCTTGGCAGCCTCCTCCCTGGCTCAGGCGGTGTCTGGCAGCTGGGGAGCATGCATGCAGCACCTTCCCCCAAGTGCTGCACTGCCAGCCCAGCAGCGAGTGTGCAGAGAACAATGATGCAGCTGGGTCCAAGTGTGCTGTGCCAAGCACCCTGCCTTGAGCCTGGTCTAGTCCCACCCAAGAGGTGGCATGGGGAGCAGGAAATGCACAGGACTCAAGGGATGATCCAGTGCTCACACTGGGGATCAATGGAAGAAATGTCCTGGGCCAAAGACAGGCCCCCTGCCCTCAACCCCTACAAGCATCACGTTCCTGCACCCTGCCACTCCTGAATCCCTGCTGCCCTGATGTCCACCAGCAGCACCATGCCATGGCCTGCACCCCCTTCCCTGGCCACAGGAGCTTCAGCAGACCTCACTGCCGCCCTCTCGTGCCACGATGTGTGGCTGCCAGTGGCAGGCGGCTGGGCGTCACCCACCGACAGCAGCCGCTTGCATCTCCCAGCAGGAGTGCAGCGAGCAGAGGCAGCAGGCCATGGCCCAGCAGAACTGTGACACCCCTCATCTGGCTCACGGCTCTGCCAGTGCCTGGCTGCACCCCATGGGAAGGGGAGGTAGGGGCACCAGGCTCCAAGGGCTGGTCTTGTCCGCCACAAGGCTGCACAGTTAATGCTCATGGATGAAGGGGCTCTGCTCAGACTCCATGCAAATGCTATCCACTCCCTGGAGCAGTTTTGGACAAAGATCATCCCTCTGCTGTAGCCCAGCACAACCAGGAGTAACAACCCTGTGGCCCTGTTACTGGGGACCATTACCCTGAGTACCCAGGATGCTGTGACCACAGTAGCAGCCCCTGGCGCTGTGGCCGCAGCGGAGTGCTGAGCGCAGAGGCTGACCCAGTACCAGCAGGGCTGGAGCATCGCTGCAGAGGGGGGCACCCCGTGCCCATTGCACCCAGGCCCTGGGCCCAGAAGCGCATTAGCAGCAGGGGCACACCGCTGCCCACCCTCAGCATTTTGCTGCAGTACAGCAACCCCTCTCTGCAGGCCAAGAGCTGGGCACAGCCCTGTTACCGTTTCCCCAGGAGGATGTGCATGATCAGCAGCTAAGTGCAGGCAGCAGCATGGGGAGCTGGGATAGAAGGAAGAGCAAAGATGGGGTTACCTCAAAAGAGGCCATTTGAGGGGTCACTGCTTCCCCCTTTTCAGGCTGGCTCGTTTCACTATCTGAGCCCCCATCCTGCCCCCGGAGACCTCCGGTTTCGGGACACGCACTCGCACCTCCTCCTGAGGAAGCCGCAGGGGCAGGAAGCAGGACATCACCCAGGTGAACAGACAGACATACAGAAGAGGACAGGAGAGGGAAAGGCAGAGTCAGTTGGCAGAAGACATTGTGCAAGAAGACTGGTGCTTGGGCAAGAGCTGCCCCTGGAAGCCTTAGAGGGGAAATAGGAGAGGAGAGCAGGGCAGAAGAAAGGACAGAGAGTGGCGGAGCCCCAGAGCCAGCGAGTCCTGCAGAGGTAATGCTGGCCCCGGGCAGGGTGCCTGCAAGGCAGGGCTGTAAGCCACACTGTACCTTGGTCCCCAGACCGTCCCGGTGCAGGATGGAGTATTTCATGAAGTGATCATCCTCAGCTTCCAGGTCTTGGGGATCCTGCAGGGAACCCTCCAGAATCAGGTCCTCCTGCTCCTGCCTGTCATCCGTGTCACCAGGGCCCAGCTGACGCACTACCTTCCGGATGACCTGTGGAGACCCGCACAGCCACGCATGACAGCTAGCCCCCAGGCACCATGCCTCTCTCCTCACCCAGTCTGTCCCTGAACTGCATGTGGCGTGCAGCCTCTGTCCCATACGCAGGGTCTGGCCGGAGAAGTTCCGTGACCGTAACTGAAGACATGCGGGTGCCCTGTGTGGGCCCCTGGGCTGCAGGGAGGAGCAGGGCAGCCGGGCAGAGGGGAGAGGAGAAAGGCTGCAGCATGCCCTTGCCCACACTGTGCCTTTGATCACCCACCTTCTTGGTAATGATATTGCCTTGATCATCTGTGAACTGCTCCTCAGTCACCTGCTCTCCAGGGAGATGAAGGACTTCGTTCCCCTGCAATGACAGGAGGGACATCAGGACATTTCAGGGGGGTGAGGGGAGCCCCTTTGCAGGCAGAACAGTACACGTGACATGCACTCCACAGCCTCTGTCTCCCAGCCTGCCCCATCCATTCACTCCTCTCTCTGCATCTGCCCTCGGGCTGGTCTCTCAGCTCCCTGCTCATTACCTTCACAAGGACACGCCGACGGACAACCCTGGTGGAGAGAGTCTCCTCGTCATCCGCCAGCCCCTGGCTTTCCCCGAGCTCCTTGTCCAGCTCGCGGTGGGCATGTTTGAGCAGGAAGCGGACAGAGCCCCTGACGATGTGCATGACATTCTGGCAGCTCACCAGGAAAAAGGCTAGCAGCACCAGGGCAATCAGCAACTGGGCCAGGAAAGCCCACATCCTGCCTCAGCGCGCGCAGCTGCACGCGTGCCCCACGGGTCTGAGTCCGCCGCTCAGAGCCTGGCCATGCTATCTGGCTGGGGCAGGCAAAGCCCCCAGGGCAGGAGCAGCCCTGCAGGTCTGCAGCCTGCCCAGCGTGGTGCCCTGGCTCTGCGGGAGGACCGCTGTAACCCTAGCTGCCGTAGCTCAGCTGGCTGTGGGCGGCGAGAAGGGAGCGGGCAGGTGGGGCGTCCTTTGCGCTCACAGCTTCTGTCAAAGTCATGGGGCCAGGACTGCGACAGCACCACCGGTCCCCAGCCAGGCAGTAACCGGGACAGCCCTGTCCCCCTTCTCTGTCAGGTCGCCAACAACCTGTCTTCCTGGCTGTGGTGGGAAGGCAGTGTGCAGTCCTCCGTCATAGGACAAATGAAGCCCCAGGCAGGAGCCAGGGGTTCGGGGTGTGACTGGAATTGCACGTGACTCGGGAGACATGCACTGCAGAGCTGAGCAACCATCTCCGAGCATGGCCGTGCTGCCGGGATGGCTGTGCGTGCCCTGCCCGGGGAAAGGTGCTTGCCCTCACCTTGTACCTGCCAGCTCCATGTGGCCGTGGCAAGATGACCACCACCCAGTCTGGCCCCCAGACCAGCTCTATTTCTGGCTCCAGCAGGCTGCTGGGCCAGTGGCCAGGGCAGATACTCAATAAGGAAGCAGGCAGGGAGGCTGGCTGGGTTATAAATGGAGAGCAAGAGCTCAGGTATCAAGCACAGCAGGCTATTCTGGGCTGAGAGGCACCCCCAGGGGCAGGGGGCAGGAAGCGTGCCAGGAGACTTGTGCCTCCGCTAGGACCCCATTCTGCCTGGCTGGTCTTGCAGCAGGCTTAGGAAAGGGCTGTCCATAGGGTCTCTACCTCCTGTGGGGCTGGGTCCCCCTGCTCTTACCCTCACCTGCCCAAAAAAGCAGCTGTCTGCCTCCTCCTGCCAGCCGCCTGTGAGGGGCTGGGG